GGCTGAGGGGGGGGGAGTTTCTGGACGTGTTAGAAATTTAGGGAGGAGCTCTCTGGGGAGATGAGCTGCTCGGAGTCTCCATGGAGACAGCTGGAAGGACTGATTCAGCCATTAGGGCTGAGAGGAGGAGGAGGCTGTGGCTCTCCCCTTCTGAGCACAGCTGAAACCCTGTGTGTTCTGGACTAAAACGCCTTTAACCCATTTTCATTTTACCACTCTGAGCCACAGTGTGGGCAGGGACGTTCTCTCTGGGAATCCCCTGAGCAGCTCTCTAAGCCTGCAAACTAGACAAATTACAGGACTCAAGGCAGTTTCTTTGTGTTAATGTGTCAGAGGCGAGTGGAGGGGACAGAGGGAAACTTTTAGGGCTCCCCTTCTCCTTCCCCTCATCTTTCTCTTCCTCCTCCTTCTCCTCTCTCCTCCTACTTCTTGACTTTTTTGTTTTTTGTTTTTTTAAGGCTAAGTATTTCTATGTACTCTGGCTACCCTGGAACTCACCACGTAGCCTAGAGTGACCTTGACTTCAGTTTGTAGATCAGGCTGGCCCTCAGACTCCAACTCCTACCTCAGTCTCCCGAGTGCTGGGATTATAGCCATGTGCGATTATGCCCAACGTGTAGGATTTCTTGGCACTTTAAAAATGTTTTTGTCAGTTTTCAGCTTATAATATAGCTTCTCTTTGTGTCCTTTCAAAACAATCATTAGGTCCACTAAATAGAAACTTGAGGTTTTCATCAGGTGAAGAAATGCTCTTCTATGATTTCCTGATCATTTGTTCTTCTGTTCTCTGGATACCCCATTGCAAGCCATGAATCGGGTAATTCTTCCTGTTTCTAGGCCCGATTTTGGCATCTTGTGCTACTCAAACCTCTGCTGACCTCTGGATTTGCTTTGATTCTCATGATTTTGGCTAACAAATTTGTTTTGTCCTCTGCTTCTCTTTCTCATTGTACCTGCTTCATTTATGAAAACCCCCTTTGATGTTTTTCTGTGACCTAGCAGTTGCACATGAATCTACCGATATTTTAATTATCGTCTGGCGCCCCACGGCCCACATTGCTGGCCTTGGAGGGCCTTCTGGAGCCGGCCGGTTCTACCGTGGCTGCAATATGCAATATGTAGGTTTACACTAAGTCTCTATCATCCTCTTTACCAACAAAAACTCAGAAGCCAGATGTGGGGGTGAAAACCTGCTCGATCAGAGAAGCCAAGAAGCAAGCAGCCGACCTTGCATTTTGGCTGGAGGCCCAGCAACAGACGTGTCTCTTCACTCATGCCAAAACCAAAAGACCCAGCGCAAGTCCCCGCCCCTTCCTTCCTTGCATCTTCTCTGGCCAATTCTGGTCAGTAAGTCACTAGCTTCGCCCCTGATTCAAGGTAAGCTTTATTTAACAGTCTTAGAGTGTCACAGTGTGATTAAATTCCCATTACACCCTTTCCTTGGAGATTTCAGGAAAATGCTTAATTCTAAATTTCATCTGCCATCGTAATTTAATGCTTTTTATATTTATTTATTTTTCATGTTTATTTATTTATGTTATAATGATCTGTTCTGTCTCTTTAAGAGACAAGCCACGCCCCCCAGGCAGGCAAGCAGATCTTCCTTCCTGCTTGCAGCCTGAGTCTTTTCCTTTTCTGTCTCCCTCTCAAAGAGGCAGTTTATCTCTCCCTTCTCTCTCTCTCTCTCTCTCTCTCTCTCTCTCTCTCTCTCTCTCTCTCTCTCT